AAAATAATATATATATATATATATATATTTAATTATAAAATAGGCTCAAGTAAATGAACAAAATGCGAGTGGATCAAGTAAATGAACAAAATGCATCTGTCATACTGACAATTTATTTCCGGTATAGATTTATTATAAAATTTACAACGCAAAATTCACTTCATATAAAAATTGTTGTTAAATTTTTGCTTTGTATATGTAATGTTGCTTTCTGGTCCATAATAAAATATGCAATACGAAGCAAAGAATACGAAATGCATATCAAGAGCTACATAACAAATGCGATCTAATCATCCGACTCGCTTTCCTGCCTGTCGCCAAAGCTCGACCACTTCCGCTTCTAGCGAGTCGGTTCTGTAACTCGACCCGTGGCTCACAAATGACCCGCGTAAATTGCATAAGGTCGAAATCGCGTTCATCCTGCGCCTGCGGAGGCGTACTGTTACTTTTCGGTACTACTTATCGCCACGAACGAAAATATTTGTCGATGCAAAACTGCTATGAGCAAAACTGCATTTTTCTAAAAAAAAAACTTGAAACTATTTTTCAATCAATCCCTTTTTTTCAAATCCTGTTTAGCAAAGGGAGAAAGTTGAATCCCAATTAATTTTGCAATTTTAGATAAATGTTTATGCCGAATAAATTTAATGTTATGATCGAATTGAGAGAATTTTGTCTTGTTTTTATTTGGGGGACTTGAATTTTTATTATCTCTCTCTCTCTCTTTTTTTTTTTTTTTTAAATTCTATTTAGCACAAAGGGAGGAAGCTGAGTCTTAATTAATTTTGCAACAATTTTGGACAAACGTTTGTGCCGAGTAAATTTAATTTTAAGATCGAACTGAGAGAATCTTGTTTTTATTTGGGAGCTTCTGGATTTTCATCAATGTATTTTATGCAACGAACGACGCGCGCGCAAACGCGGGCAGACGCGATTGTACGTGTACGTGCGGACAATCAGCGAGATGCGTATGTGACCTGTAAAATTGCATAATCGTGCTTCCTCAATGACGACGTGAGCGAGAGCGACGATGGGCCAAAGAGGTAATGATACCTATGAAATTGATCGTTTACGTATACGAGCCGGCGACCGCGAAGCGAACGGCAGACGGCAGACCGGACACGTAATGCACGAAGTCAGAGTTACGAGTTTTTACGATCGTAACCGTCGAATTGCCGACTCGTTGGTCTTTTATCTAATCGCCGCGACGGCCGTAACGAACCGTCGTGACAGAATTAACGACCGCGCGCGCAGCAATTGCGCTCGTGTAAGCGTCGTGTCCGCGTCACGAGTCTCGCGTTTCGTTAGTTAGTTCATCCGGTACGTGAGAATATTGTCGGTTTTCATGATCGAGACGATAGCGTTAAAAGATATCATCATCTGTAATAAGCTACACGTGTCAATAATTGGTTGTTTAATATTCGGAGATGGGATTACGAATTGATGCAAATGAAACCTGTCGCAATGTATGGCTGAGCTCTTGCTTATTATTTTTAGTTTTATTTTCAGCTGTTGTGCAAGTTTAAAAATTTGACCAGATACAAATCTGAAAATAATTTTTTAACACTTAAATTTATTTTAACACATTGGTGATAATACTCGAAACATTTTTCATTTTCTACCAACCAATTTGAACGTTGTATATAATTTATAATTTTTTACCCAGCAAAATTATTTTTATATCTGTATCTTTAACCAAATTTTTAGATTTGCCAGCAAAACTATTCTTTCCGTGTAATATTACAAGTGATATGTAAATCATTTGTTACTTGTATTGCGTGATATTGTAAACTGGTGCTATTTACCTTGATCGCAGAATATTCAGTATAGGGAAATCATGGACAAAGGGAAACAACCAGGAAAAGTGATATTATTTTATAATAATCTTTTTTGTTTATTTATTTATTTATATGTGAATGTGGACAATCCTGATTCGCGATCTGCAAATCGCGATTCCCATTTGCAAAGAGAAAAAGTTCAAGATTTTGCACTGCCGATGAAGGCGGAGGCGGAGCGATGTGTCGCGTCATGTCGCGTCGCGTGGTCTCTCGTAATCGCGATTACGGGATACCATTGAGCATTGAGCATAGCGGACGGTGGCGAGTGGTGTCTCCATTGAACCGGTACCGGAAGCGGTCGTTATCCGAACGCGGTCGTGCCGAGGTCGCTCTTGAAAATCGGACTTCTGCTCTCCGCGCACCGCGAACGTCTCTCTCATCGCTGTCACGTGTCGAATACGCGCCGGCCACGTGTCTCTCTCTCTCTCTCTCTCTC